CCGGCTTTTTCCAGTCTTCATGAGGTTGGATAGAAAATATGGTGAATGCTGCCTCTGAGTATCATGTGACAGACAGTCAAGTTTGCAAAAACACTGTGGTGCATCTTCGTCCACCTTGTTCTCTGTAACAGCAGTGTGCAACTTCTGGCTCTCCACTAACGTCCAAAAGACCCTGAAATGTAAATGTTCCGAACGGACTCTGGACACCCAGGCAATCATGACAGCACAGCTTAAGACACCCATCTAGAAAGTGTTAGGCATGACGGAGAGAGTTCAAAGCAAGAGGGAATATTGTAAAAAGCCTGTTGTGGCTTAGATTTAAAATTGCCCCTACGCCCTCATATGTGGGACAGTGATTAGATTAGGCAGTACTGTAGCTGACATGGCTGTTAGGAAGTGGGGTTGCTACAGTGGTCTCAGGGAGGAAAGCACCCACAAGAGAGAGAGCAAGCGAAGTTATAGGAACCGAAAAGCTTTTATCGTGGGTTAGAGACTGGCATCCTGACGTAGGGTCGGGACTCCCAAATTGTCAGTCCCCATTTGTACTTTACCTCCAGGTTATATACTTTCCTTGTTTCCATAGTAACGATAGTACCTAAGTTTTAGGAACTGTACGAGAATGCCCCACAATCTCCACAAAGTGTACATTTCCCAGACACTCTTGCCCACCTGCCTGTCATGGCACATTACAGTTTAATGTTTATGCTATTCCCCAAGTTGTTCTATCTGTTCCTATTTTATGACCCTGCTTTTCTTTTTCCTTCTTTTTTTTTTTTTTTTTGCTCCGAATGCCTTCAGGGCAGGTTTGGCTGGCTTGAGTTGTGGGGATCGAACCACAGCAACCTGAGCCTGACTGCTTTGTTGAAGCAGCCACTTAAAGAACTGAGCTAAGGGGCAGGCCCCCATGACCCTGCTTTTCTCTAAGTGGGTTTATGATTAGCTACATGGGAAGGGGTGAGACAGTGAGTTACTCTATAGTTTAAGTGAACCTAAGTGACTCTCCCTTAACATGGAGTCTCTTTTGCCCCAGCAGGGTGTGGACACAGAGGTGGGCCACAGTGGGTGTGATTCCAAAGGGTGCATCTGTCTTCTTGGCTCTTCCCTTACTGCACTGCGAGACACCATGAGGGGAGCAGCTCCTTTTGACGAGCCTTCCTGCCTGGAGCTGGCCAATGACGGATAAAACACGTGAGCCAATGGCAGCCCATTTAAGGATCTATTCCCATTCCTTTCTCCCATTTTTATACTCCATCCCCTTTTTCCAATAAATTTTCCTACTCTTAAGAAAATGTGAGTCAAAAAATAAATAAATAAATAAATAAATAAATAAATAAACCACCTCTCCTCCAGGTGTTGGGTCTTGTATCTCAGTGATGAAAAACTGACCAAAACAGATTTGGGTACCAGAGAAGTGGGATCGTTGCTGTGATTTTACTTAGTCATGCTTCCAGGTGCTTTTGGAACTGGTTTGAAGGAGAAGTTTGGAAGGGTTTGGAGAACACTGGCTGTAGAAGCAGCCCTAAAATGCAGTATGCAACTCAATGAGAGAGTCTAGTTAAAGCTCAGATGACCAAAATGCTGATAAAAAGAAGGATGTTAGAGACTGGGCATGGGAAGCTTCAGTTGGGCAAAAGGACTCCATAAGCAAGCTGCAGGCCATGTGTTATGCTTCAGCAGAAAATCTGCCCAGTCTGCTCTGAAATTTTGTAGCAAACCAAGATTATAAGTGGAAGAGTAATCTGGCAGTGGAAACTTCAAGGCAGCCCAATGTGTGGGTTGTAGCACACATACCTGCTTTTATCTAGGTTTATAGTGAAAATCATGAGCAAAAAGTTGCCCATTTGAAAAGTTTTTGTTTCCCCAGGAAGATAGGGTCAGTAAAGTTGGAACAGAAGAGAGCTTGGTTGCATTAAAAAGAAGCCAAATAATTTAAGACAGGACAATAGAAAAGCTAGCTTGAGGGCACCACAGGAACCAGCAAAACCCATCCTTCACAGGCTCAAAGTTGCAAGAGATGGAAAGCTATTTTGAGAACAAAGGCCTGGAGCACTAGACTTGAGAAGGGCACTTAGGAAATCTGTTTCCTGGGATTCTGTTCATAGCACTCAGCCAGCCAAGTACTCAGAGCCCTCTTCAGCCATGGTATGAAGCAGCCTGGCTGCTACTGCTCATGGCAGCCCTGGGCATTGTGCACATGGTACTGGTTTAGAGGTACACAGAACGTAAGAATCACTGGTCAGGGAGGCTTCCACCCAGGTTTCAGAAGCCTGAGAAGTCACACTGTGCCCCTGTGCATGTAGCAAGAAGCTGTGAGAGTAGAGCCAAGAGTGCAGTGGAGGCCCCAAGAGGCCGAGGAAGTGGGAAACGTGGATTACCTGAGGAAAGCCATAAGCCGAGCTAGGCTGAGAGAGGACAGGAGAGTTACAACCACTGGGGCAGCACTGTAGGAGCAGGGCCACCTAAGCCACAGGAGTTCTCATCTTGCCACAACGTGGACACGAACTGAAGGACTGAATGTCTGGCTTGTTGGGGTTTGTTCTTGCTTTGGTCCCACTAGTTTTCTATCTCCTTATTCCTCCCTTTTGGAATGGAAATGTTTACGCTGCTCCACTGTGTCTTTAGTGTTCAACTTTCTCTTTCATATTTATAGGAGCTCACAGCTAAGAGTTTGCCATATGTATCAGAGGAGACTTTGGACTTGGATTTTTCCATAATGCTGAAATGTTAAGACTTGGGTGACTCTTGAGCTAGAATACATGTGTTTTACATGAAGAGATGCAGGTGTCTTGGGGGGAATGTTATGGGTTGTATCTGGGATGGCCCCCAAAGCCTCATGTGTTAGGAAGGTGAGTGGATTATAGGGTTACTGCAGCTGACTCACTGTTAGGAAGTGAGGTCTGCTCGAAGAGGCAGGTCACGAGCTGCGACCCCGAAGCGAGGGTCTCTTCCTGGCCCTTCCCTCCACTCCGCTGCTTCCTGGCTGTGAGGTGAGCAGTGCTCCTCTCCCAGCCTTTCAAAGCAGACAAGCTCTCCTTTAGACTGTAGCTGCTGGGCATTTTGTCTCAGCAACAGGAAAGTGACTAAGACAGAGGTGAGTGGCAATGTATCTTTTATTCTAATAAATTAAAAAATAAACATTCAATATATTTCTTGATCATACAGTGTATATGAGTGAGCCTCATGGTATCTTGTATTTTCCTGATGCTCTTTTTTTTCTTGGTTGTAATATTACACAAATAAAAAGAGGTGAAAAAAAGGTGAAAAAAGTATGATTAAAAATATGAAAAAAATCACTTCAATGAGCTTGTGAGGTGCTCATAATTCTACAGTACCATCCCTGTCAAAATACTGCAGTTGCTGGGTTTGATGGTGCCTGCCTATAATCTTACATTGCAGAAGCTGAGGCAGGAGGATCGCCACAGGTTCAAAGCCAGCCTGGGCTACACAGTGAGATCCTGTTTAAAAAAAAAAAAAAAAAAAATCTTGCAATGGTTGCTCATTATTCCAATGTTTATATTGAGTACACCGAGAGAAAAAGTTGGCAGTTTATTTAAACTTTTTATTTTATTTGGAACCTGAAGGTACAGATTCTAGCAGAACTCACATGGGCTCTTGTCTCACTCAGACTAAGCTAAAGTGCTTCTCTGCAGAGAGGAGGCTGGTCTCCAGAGATCAAGATGAAGCGACTAGCCCCGGGCTCCCACTTGGTAAGGATCTAGCAGGTGCAGAGGAAAGTGACATCAGGCTGGGGACCGGCCAGATCTTGCAGACCCTGCCTTCAAGGGTGAACTCTCTGCTGATCCAGTGCCTTTTGTAGGCTCCAGGGACACAGTGGTGGTCCACAAGCCCAGATCTCTCTTCTTGCAGAGCTCACATTCTAGCATGGAAGTCAGACTGCAAGCCAAGGGATAGATCGGAGCAGTGACACCGATAGAAAACTATGCCGGTGTGATGAGAGTGGTGTGGGTGGGGGCTATTTTATGTTGGGTTAGGAAAGCTTCCATCAAACTCTAAGTGCAATTCCACTTATGTTGTGGTTTTGGGGCAGGCCTCAGTATATAGTTGAGGCTGGCCTTGAACTCACTGTGTAGTCCAGGTTGGCCCTGAACTTGCAGTGATTCTCCTGCCTCAGCCTCCCACGTGCTAGGATTGCAGGTGTGCGCCAGACACCTAACTTTACAATCCAACTTTGTAAGCTTGAATTTGCAAGGTTAACAAACCCAAGACCTTTTTTCCTCTTGTTTACTACATTCCAGTCACAGCTGCCTGTTCTTCCAACAGGCAAAGCAGCTCATTCCCTACAGGGTCTCAGTGCGCAGCTCGGACTTGTAGTGATCCTCCTGTTTCAGCCTTCCCAGTGCTGGGATCACAGGTGTGTGCCACCATGCCCGGTCTCGGTGGCTGGCTCTGTGCACTCAGGGGCGGGGATGGCACACCATGTGGTGCTGGGGATCGAGCCCTGGTCCCTGTGCCTGGCTAAGCAGGCACTGGCCCTCATTCTCTCCTTTAAATTCCATCCCATTAGCTGTTCTCACCATCTATAAGACCCCTATTAGTCAGACTTAGTTTAGATGTTACTTTTTAATGGAAGTCTTTGCCTAACCACTTACCACTAGCAAATAAGCATAAGGGAGTTTCAGCCTCAGTTTTCAGAGTGACCCGCACATCTCATAGCAAGCTGAACATTCCAAGATGGAAAATAAACACATTGCCGGCACAGGCTGCTGTGAGCGCGGTTATCCAATCACCTTCTCTGCAGTATTTTCGTTCATCTCCCGGCCCCTACCTGGGCATCAAACCCAGGGCCCGTGTGTGCTGCTGCTCTACCGCGGAGCCCTGTGCAGCACTTCATTCCTTCAGTGTTAACATCATCTTAAAAGTTTCACCTTGTAACAGCCAAATTTCCACGAACGTCTGTGAAATACAGAGAAATCTAGACTTTTTTTCTGAGAAGATGAAATGATTCCGATTAAGGTACTCTCCCCAAAATTCGTGTCATTAACATTTATTTCAATCCAAGAAGTGTGAATTCAGAATTAATGTAAGGTAAAACCTTAAAGCATTTGGCAAAATAAATGTTAAGAATTTGAGTAAAATGTTGGTGGTACATGTGCCATGTATTACAGAGAGACATGAACAAACAAAACCCAAACTCTAAAAAGACTTAAATTCTGGTTTTGAAAATCAGTTCAGTAGTACAGTCCCTCCAGAGGAGAAGCAATTTGCCTTTTACCATAAGTTTAAAAAACTTATGGTATTTTTCTTCTCTAACTGCCGTCACCACAGTACTGCTTACGTGTTTAAACCCAAATGCTTTCATCAGAGTATCTTACACCACCACAAGACACTGGTATTTAACGGGGTTACATATAACGAACCATAAAACACCTGCTTTTGAAAATAAATATGGTATAATCTATTCCCGAAGTATTAAACAAATGAAACAAATATATATTGGAACAAAATTTCCAAACATAAACTTTGGCAAAACCACACATAAAACAGCAAATCAACAGCTAGTTCAAATATCAACTAAAACAAACTAAAAACAGTGAGCTCTGAATGTGCAAATGAAGGGCGATGCTTGAGCTTTTCAAAAGATGGCTGCTGGTCACATGGCTTTGGCCTGTCCTCTGAAGAAGTCGGAACACATTTAAAGGACAAGGCCAATGAAGACAAGAGGAAACAGTGCATCTTGAAGTTATTCAGAGATCTTTATCTAAGTAACTTCCAAACACATAATTTATAATATGCTTACGGTTTGGAACAATTTTTCCCTGAGCATTCTGCCTGGTTAGAAAAAGTAAAACATGATCTATAAAATAGAATTTAAATTTAAATTTGATTTTTCTTGAATATATGAAAGTTTTCACCCATCACATGTATGCATTTTTTAGACACTGTTGAAGTAACTAGCAATTGGAAGTGTTTTGAAGGTCTATGTAAATAAATGGCTATACATATGGATGGTGCACTAACAATGGTGCGGCGAGTGGCCCCTACAACTGGAGAGATTGACTGTGCTAAATCCACCAGCGCTTACTTCAGCAAACCTATAATGGCACTAGCTTCACAGAGGGAAGAGGTAATGCTCAGTAGTTCCAGCTCTGATGACCGATAGATAGCATCAAAACTGAAAGAAATAAAGTTGGATTAACACTGTATTTTCCACAGAATAAGGCTGAAAAAGTTCCGCCTAACACAGTATTGAAACAACTCACACCTAGACACTTATTTAATGCAGTCTTGAGATCTTGCACTCCGTAACATTCATGCAAACTTAGTTCTAACTCCACAGGCAATGTCCTCATACCAGCGGCCGTTCTCAGGGCTCTACCCAAGATCTCCAGCCCACGAGGCAGCGCAGTCAGTGCCCATGTACAGGGACACAACCAGCTGTGTATGCCTAATTTTTTTAATGTCTTAAAAGAACCTAGCAATGTAACAACTTAAACTTTTCTTTCAAATAAAGAACAAATAAGGAATTCTAACTATGCAAAATTTGTAAATAATTGTTTTCTACATAGCTTAGACTCATTCTAAAAATTAGATTTAAAAGGTTTCATATTTACAGTTAGATTTTCATAAAACCTAACTATATGCATTTTCAGCTTTATGATTATATCTTATAAGAATAATAAATAAAACATCTACAAGTCATCATTCTGAAGGTCTTGAGGAAGGGAGTGATTTCAGATGTCCAGAAGTACCTTCTGTCTTCATATTTTAAGTTGCTTTATCCAGGACGCCCTTGACCAAAACGACTTTTAGACCTAGATTTTTCAAACAGAAAAGAAGGTCATACTTGCTTCTAGAACAATAGGAAGTTGCCATGACATAGTGTGCTGACAGTATAAAAATTTAAAAACTTTGTAATCCATTTTCTAACCCTCTTAGAATGAGCTATATTTAGAATTCTGATTTTTTTGAGATACAGTATAGTTATATACATTGCATATTATTTATCTGGTACAGATAATCAAATACAATAATGTTTCCTCAAAATGAAACAAATGAACACTTACATAGCAAGAAAAAACAAATATCCACATGGTGGGCTCAGTTTGAGTGACCACCAATACATCCAAGAAAATTTTTCACCTTGTGAGCTTTGCAGATTTCAAAACTACAGATACGGCATTAATCTGAATCTTAATGTTCAATTCTCAGGAACTTCACTTTTAACAGAAGTGTGCTATGGCTTTAATTCAGAAGGCCCCCAAGGCCTCCCGTGCTCCGAGGTGGGGCTCCTGGAGGCGACTGCTCACAGGCTGGAGTCAGCAGCCCACTGGCACTCTGATGAGCAAGGCCTGGCCAGGGCCGGCTGCCTCCTAGAGCCCTTTCCCTTTGCTTCCCAGCTGCCCTCTACCCCAGTCCTCCCACGACGCCTTTTCTGCTTTGGAGCCAGCCAAGAAGAGGCTGAGCCCTCCAAAAACCATGAGCCAAAATAAACCTCCTCTAAGAGCTGTGGGTTTCAGCTGTGTCTCAACGATGAGTTAAGTAAGACAATTTGTGCTAACATACTGTTTTTGAGGGTAACTTGGCCTTCATGAAGTTTTTGCTTTTTTATTATTTATTTATATATTTATTTTTGTATTTTAGGGAAGGGTCTACAGGGTGTTCAGGGTCTCACTACTAGATCAGACTCGTAGTGATCCGCCTGCTTACAACCTCCCAAGTGCTGGGATTACAGGTATGTGCCACCATGCCCAGTCTCAATCTCATTGAGCCCTGGGACCCTCGGCCCCTGTGCCTGCTTGCATGCATTTTAATCCACTGAGCTATTTGGCCAGCCCAAGGAAGACAATTTGTGATGCACAGTGATACAAGACCTGCGCACTGTGCTATATTAAAGAAAGAAAAATGGGAAAGACTTCAGTGACTTATATAATACATAATCTGCAACTAATACAGTATGTCAGTTTTGCAATTCATAGTTGTAATGGGTATAGAATGGACTCGGACCCATAAACAAAAAAACAACAAAAACAAAAAGCTCAGGGGCCGAGGAGATGGGTCTTACTATACAAGGACTTGTAGTGATTCTGTTTTCAGCCTCCCAAGTGCACGTGACACCACAAGCAGTCTCAGTTACCTCTCAGCTTTTCCTGGGGGGCAGGGCCTGCACAGGGATCAAATCAGGGCCTCTGCGTCTACCTAAGCAGATGCTTTAATCCACTGAGCTATCTGGCCCACACTCAAATCATGTAGTTCTAATGTTACCATGATTTACTACTCCCTCACTCCTTCAAAAAAAAATCACCCCAGGGCAGGGCAAATAGCTCAGCAGATTAAAGCACCCGCAAGCAGGCACAGGGGCTGGGGGTTCGATGCCCAGGCCTGCTGTGTGGACCCTACCCCCAGGGTGCACTGAGGTGGCAGTTGAGATTGGGCATGATGGCACGGGCCTGTAATCCCAGCTCTTGGGAAGCTGTAAACTGGCGGATCACTACAAGTCCGATCTAGTAGTGAGACCCTGAACACCCTGTAGACCCTTCCCTAAGTAAAAAAAAAAAAAAAAAAAAATCACTCCAAAGCCAGAGGCATCCTGAATGAGTTTCTGCAGATTTACCTTGTGTTTTTCTCCGAGTTGCTTTGTCGTGTACTAACTGGCACAGAGGCTTTGATTTGTGCTTCAAGCCTGGAATAAATACCTCCTGCAAACTACAAAATGAAGTACAGTTATCTCCAAGGAATCAACAGAAACTATGTTTTAAATTTTATTTTTTTGTTGTTGGTATAGGGTCTTACTATGCGGTTTGGACTTGTAGTAATTCTGTCTCAAGCTTTGCCTTATTCAAATGTCATTTCTTCTAAATTTACATAGTAATTAAAATTTTTTATTTAGTAATTAAATTTTTTTAAGTTTTATTTTATTTGTAGATGGATAGTAATATTATTTATTATTTATTATTTATTTTTGAGACAGTCTCAACTATGCACTTCAGGCTGGCATAAACTCACTATGCACCCCAGACTAGCTCCCAGCCCACAGCAGTCCTCCTGGCTCAGCCTCCCGAGTGCTGGGATTACAGGCATGCACCATCATGCATGGCTAGTAATTTGACTGTTAATATTTAAAATTAAGGTATAATTTACATTTCAAGGTAAATTTTCAACATTTTTGTATAGAGTTCTGGGTTTTGACAAGCACATAATGCTGTATAATCACTGTCAGAAGATATAAAACTGTTCTATTACCCCTAAAAAATCTGCTTGTTGCTTTAAAATTTGTTTTAAATTTTTATTTATGTCTTTAGTACAGGGTCTCACTTCCCAATCTGGACCCATAGTGCTCCTCCTGTTTCAGCCTCCCAAGCGCTGGGGTTACAGCTGTGAGCTACATGGCCAGGGCAGGGTCAGTACAGCATGTGGTACAGGGGATCAAATCCGGGTCTTTACTCTTGCCTAGGTAGGTGCTTAGACCGAGGAGCTAGCTCTGCACCCGTTTCTTTTTTTGCGGTACTGGGGATCAGATGCGGGACCTTGTGCTTGCCAGGCAGGCACTTCCGTCACTGAGCTATTTGCCCAACCTTCTTGTTGTAAAGCAATCTAGCTATCACTACTGGTTCCTCTCAACCACTGATCTGCTTTCTGCTACTCTGGTTTTGTACAGAATATAGCTTTTTAAGTCTGTTTTCTTCCACACAGCATACAATGTATGGAGGTTCGTCCATGTTGTTACCTGTATAGTATTAGGACTCTGTGCTTTTTTTAGTTAGTACAGTTCACCCATTTGTTAAACCAAAAACCTGAGATGGTGATTCTCTTAAGTAAAACAGTTTACTAAGCTGTTACAGAAATTGGAGAGATTGGGGACTAGTATTCTTATAATGTAACTTTGGGCCTTAAGGCACGTATTATTCACTAAGAACTTGCACTGGCTATGGATAAGGGAGCCAGGAAATTATGACATGGGTAGTTTTGGGACAGGTGGACACGGTTATGCAGGAGAACTTGCAGCCTGAGGACGGCTGAGGGTCAGTTAAAATTCTTTTCTAAGTGGATCACAATGTCGCTTGGCGGTCAGCAGGCTGGAGTCCCAGTCAGCTTCCAGCATGCAGTCCTGCCCTGGTGGCTAATTAACTGCCTCTTTTCCTTTCCATCTTCCAGCCAGTTTGAATTGCAGACATCTGAGAATTTTTCTTTTGTCACATTTACCAGCTAAGAGACGTCATTTGGGGGCCTTCCTAGTTTGGGGCAATGCTGAGTAAAACTACTAAAAATGAGTAACTTGCACAGTGAACATTTATAAGAAACTGCTACATTATTTTCCAAAACGCTGTTCTTCTCTGCACTCCTCCCAGCTCTTGTGAGAGTTCCAGCCACTCTGTATCCAGCAGTTGGCATGTTTTTCAGAAAAAAAAAAAAAAAAAAAAATAGCGTTTTAAAATTCTTTTCCCTTACTTTCTTATATGTGGTAGAGGGGATCAGACTTGGGCCTGCGCCCTTGGCAGGAAGGTGCTTATGCCGCCGAGCCCTGCACAGCTAATCTGAAGACAACACTGTGCAATATAACAAGTACTGTGAAATTCACATTATTGTGTCTGATTGATTGAGTTGGTGGAACCGGGATTGAACTCAGGCCCATGCACTTGCCAGGCAAGCGCTTATTCTACTGAGCCATCTCCCCGGCCCCTTTATTATTTTGTTTAATGACATTCTGTATCATTTGTAATTTTTCTGTTTTAATACTACTTTGTACTCTCTTAAAAAAAATTCCCCTATAAGACTTTAAGTCATTTAATATGTTTATTTGCCACCTGAATTCCTTCTCTCAACGTGTTTCATAACTTTATGCTCATATATTTACTTTTATTAAGTTTCTAGTCTTTGTGTGTCCAGTTTGCAAAACTCATTTTCTTGTGCATATGGTTTGGCTTTTCATTCTCTCATTATCTTTTTTAAAAAAATGTATTTAGTACAGGGTCTACAGGGTCTCACTACGTAGATATGACTCGTAATGATCCTCCTGTTTTCAGCCTCCCAAGTGCTAGGATTACAGGTGCACGCCACTGTGCCCAGTCTCATTTGCTGTCTCAGTCTGCCCTGGGGGGTGGGGCCGGCATGGCATGCTGGGGATCTCACCCTGGTCCCTGTGCCTGCCTAAGCAGGTGCTTTAGTCCACTGAGCTATCTGGCCAGTCCTTCATTCTTTTGATAGTGTTTTCCCCCGCCCAAAAAAAAAAAAAAAAAAAAAAAAACTTGCTTATTTTTGAGGCAGGGTCTCCTTAGGTAGCCTAGGCTGGCCTTGAACTTGAGTGCTGGGATTACAGGCATGTGCTATGATGCCAGCAAAATAACATTTAATTGTCTGTTTTTGATCTTTTTGACAGGGTCTTGCTATGCAGTTCAGGCTGGCCTTGAGCTCACATTGTAGCCCAGGCTAGTCTTGAACTTGCAGTGATCCTCCTGTCTCAGTCTTCCAAGTGCTGGGATTACAGGCCTTCACCACCATGCCAGATTAAGAAAATATTTTAGAGATAACATCTAAGCAACACATGAAAAATCAGCAGTTTTAAGAAGTCATTGGATAGTCAGCATTTGGTCAATAATGCATAGTTAATCTACTTTGGTGTGACATCACTCTTCAGTAATAATATACTTTGTTATGTGTAACGCAGAGGACCTACAGACCATGGATGATAAAAGATGGGAGAAAATTCATGAATTTTAGCTAACTGGTACAGAATATAAAATAACTAAATTACTCTTTAAAAAGTCTGTCTAAAACATCTTTATATTCTTCGTGGTCAAAATAAAACCAGGATGGTAATACTTTACACAAATATAGTATACCAGTACACAATTCTTACTTCTTTTGCTTCTTTTGACTTGACTCGGTCCAAATCACCCAACCTCATTTTTATTAGATGCCCTGTAATTTCAGACATCCGTCGCTGATCTGAAGATAAAAAATAGTTAAACATTACTGTTACTGAAGATGATTTATGGTATTTATTTCTTAAAGAAGACTAATGAACTGGTTTGGTGGTTCAGGCCTATAATCCCAGCACTATGGAAGCTTAAGTTCAAGCCTATGCTGGGTGACTTGATGACTTAGTAAAACCCTATCTCAAAAAGTAAAAAAGGGCTGCGGATGTAGTTCAGTGGAAAGGCTCTGGGTTCAACCCTCAGTCTCTCTCTCTCTCTCTCTCTCTCTCTCTCTCTCTCTCTCTCTCTCTTTCTCTCTCTCTCTCACACATACACACACACACACACACACACTATAATTAACAAGGGTTTGTGAAAATATCTTTTGTTATAAAAACAAACTAGGTGCTTGAATGTTTCCTGCTTCCTGTCTTGTCACGTGATCTCTCTGGTATGGCTCCGGCCATGCTGCCATCTACCATGTGTGCAGTAGACAGCCAAGCAGATGCTGGCACCATTCTCTTGGAACTCAAGAAGTGGGAGCTAAATAAACTTCTCTATTAGGTGCCTAACCCTGGGTTTTTTGTTATAGTAACAGAAAATGGACTATGACTTAGCCTAATACATATCCAGTCATCTTTACTGTAAAAATAGTGGTCAAAAGTCTGTTTGACAGATCTTAAAATTACAAATATATAAAACAATACATTACGCACTGGACTGTTGAGTAATGAAACTTTAGTTGATATCTAAGAGAATGTACAGATATTGGCTCTAATTTTTACAGATGGAACCTTTAAAGCTATTCAGCTTACTGTGACTGACATAAAAAGAATTCTTTTTATTTATACCTAATAAATATATATTACCCAAGTAATAAAATTTACCATCTTCTCTTTGTGCATCCTGGTTGAACCTCAAGGATCTCGTGGCATCCCACTTATTCTTCTGCATACTCACACTATTGAAAAAAGTCAACAAAAATCAGCATTGATGCTGCTCTAGGAGTGGACAGCAACTGGACCAAGAGCAATACTCACACGAAAGGAGACACATCTCTAGAAGCTGACTACAAAGCAGACAAAATTAAGACCCAATTAGAACGTATTTACTGATTAGTGTTATAGATAACTACAAAAAGAATTTACTGAGTGCAAGCGAGACGGTGCAAAGAGCACTTACATATGTTATTTCACTTGAACCTTGTAACCGCCATGTGACATGGGCGGTATTTCATGATCTCATAATAAAACAGGTTCAGAGAAGTTAAGAAACTTCTCAAAAGACCTATGGACTGAAAATTTGAAATAGCTTTGTCAGCCTTCTTTGAAGCTCTAAACTCATTTACTCTTCTAGAATTAACACATTTGTGTGCTTGTGATGCTTAGCACACAGGTTAATGTACAGCCCACTCAATGTTACTATGTGGATTCTTGGAACTCAGTTTCTCCTTAAAACAACCATGGATGGCCATTGCTGTCCTGTTAGTCTTAACTGGCTTTTTATCCCTGCCTTCGAAGGCACAAGAGAATTATATAACAACAACAAACAGGTGTAAGATACAATTTACTTTAAACTTATTTTTTTAATACAAAGAGCCTGGGTTTAGTGTTCAAGGAGGACACGAGGGAGGTGAACTGGGACAACAAATTTCAAGAGGCACAAGCGCTCAAAGCCTGGATGAGGACACCCACGAGCTGTTGGTGTGAAGCCTGCCAACCTATTTTAAACTTTGTTTTTTTTGTGGAACTGGGGATTGAACTCAGGTCCTTGCGCTTGCCAGGGAAGTGCTTATTCCACTGAGCCATCTCCCCGGCCCCTATTTTAAACTTTGAAAACCTACTCATTCATTTATTTAATAAATAATATTGGTTCAAAATTCAAAAGGTATAAACAATACCTCTGTTCCCCACACATTCTGTTCCCTTCCTCAGACACAAGCTATCATCAATTTCTTATACAGCTTTCCAGAGATACATTATGCAAGGAAATTCATATATATTTTCCCATCTGATTTATACAAATGGGGAAGACACTAGGCTGCCTTACACCCTGTTCTGCACCATCCTTTTTTTCATTTGCCAACAGACCCTACAGATCTGTAATTTCGGTTCATAAAGAACTTCAATCATTTGACATTGCTGCCATTCTGCCAGGATGCTGTGCGCTTCTGTGTTAGCTATTTCCTGGCTATCCTTGCTCATCTCCGCTATAAACTTTAGAATAATAATAGGTAATTTAGAGTTACCTTCTCTGATGGCTTTTCTTTCTTTTGAGCACAGGGTGAAGACATCTGCTTTTTTGGTTGCTTTGTGAACTTCTTTGGCTTCTCCTTTTTCCCTGACAACAGAAGAACAATGTTATGAGCATAGGTTTCACATCTTTCTGATGTACTTGCTGCTGCTAAACAATAAAAATGTTTTATAAACACTTAAAAACTAAAAGATTACCACCAGACAAAAAGCAAGTATACAGAGAAATAAAACTAAATTGTTTTATAGAAGTTTACCTTATTCTTTCATTTGGTGAAAATTTTTGGGAAAAAAGTGAGGGCATGAATTCAACTCATTTGTCTCTCTATCAATATGGCAGTAAAACACTGCAACTTCCATTTTTTGTGCTGTTGGGGTGGGACGCAGGCCCTTGTGCACAGCAGGTAGGTGCTCGCCACTAAACTGCACTTGAGCCTTCCAAATTTTTCATTTAAGAAATTATTGTAATCTAGATAAAGGCAATTTGAGAATGGGGGAGAGAAGAATTCATATACACATGAAATCTTTAAAATATCTTTTGCTCAGGCAAGAGGTAGGACAAAATATATCCAAGGTAGCTTGGATATATTACTTATATCCTAGACCATGGCATTCTTGGAGTCAATTATTTTAAATCTATTTTGGCTGACAGATGCCTAGGAAGAGGGGAAGATATATCTGACAGCCACAAGTTTTGCTATATACAGTGAGTCTCCGACTTACAAACAAGTTATATGCTGGCAGAACTGTTGATAAACTGGATTCCTTCGTAAGCTGACAAAATACATCTTACATAATACACCTGTGAAAGTTTGCGAGTTGAATGTTAATAAGATGGGGAATTATTATAACTTAAAAGGAAAGCTTAGATCCCTACCATAAATGGAGAACCTATAAAGCATGCTACATAGCTAATGACCTTGAAAGTATTACAATGAAAAAACCCCTAGTACCTAGACAGATTTCTTCACCTGATGGTGTACCCTGAGCCCCTAACACGTACCGGCCACATTGGCATATCATCAGGTATTACAAAGCTGCTGAAAGACAAGGTAGGACATCTGATCATGGGAATGTTAAAGAGGCTAGACAACTTTTCCCCACAAAAGTTATAAAAACAAAATAAAAATATATTTTAAAAAAGCCCTGGGGGCTGGGGAGATGGCTCAGTGGAAAAAGTGCTTTCCTGGCAAGCGCAAGGGCCTGAGTTCAATCCCCAGTTCCGTAAAAAAAAAAAAAAAAAAAACCTGAAGGTGCTAGCAAATAATCAACCAAGAAGCTCAAGCATGTTCTAAATATCATAAAGAAAAAGAAACCCACACCTATGTACAACAGTCAATAATTTAAAAACTTTTTTTGGTGATACTGGCAATTGAACCCAAGGACTGCTGTGCTATATCCTCAGCCCTTTATTTATTCTTAATTTGGTTTTGAAATAGTGTTAAGTTGACCAAGATGATCAACTCATTTTATGAGGTCATTGTTTACTTACCTGTGAGAGTTCTTTATATATTTGAAATATTAGGTTCTTACCAGGTTTATGATTTGCAAATATTTTTCCCCAATCTGTGATTCTCTTTTTTTAAAAAATTTATGTATTTGGTACAGGGTCTCCCTATGCAGCTCAGACTCGGACTCACAGTGATCCTCCTGTTTTGAGCCTCCCCAGTGCTGGGCTTGCAGGCGTGTGCCACCATGCCCAGACTCGGTCACCAGGCTCAGAGAGCTCAGGGTGGGGCCGGTGCAGAATGCAGTACTGGGATCCAGTCCCAGCCCCTGAGCTTGCCTAAGCAGGCGCTTAGTCCACTGAGCTACCTCAGCAGCCCTCATCCTTACTGCAGTACAGCGTCGCTCACTCCACACAGCCGCAACACTTGAAAAAACCCTAATATTGACATACTAAAGAATAATGTAACCTCTTCGTAAACAATGAGATTGGATTTTAACTTAGAAGCCAATACTTTGTTTTTTGGATACTTCTTCCTCATCACCAACTTCATCTTCAGTGACTTCAGATCCAGTAGTATATTCTTCTTCTTCAGAAAATAGTGACTGTTGTTTCTAAATTTGAAAGTAAATGCATTTATTACAAATATAATATTATTACTCTTCTGATGAATTCTTTTGCTTCTTTTTTTGTTTTGAAACAGGGTCTCACTATGCAGTGCAGGCTCACTTTAAACTCTCAGGGATTTTCCTGCCTCAGCCTTCCAAGTACTAGTATTACAGACGTGCTCCCCCATGCCTGGCTCTAATTTTTTTCCCCTCCATTTATGTATTTGGTACAGGGTCTCACTATGCAGCTCTGACTTCTTGTGATCCTCCTGTTTTTCAGCCTCTCCAGTACTTGGGATTACAGGTGTGTGCCACCACGCTCGGACTTGATCACCAGTTCGGTGTGCTCCAGGGGTGGGGCTGGTGTTGCATATGGGACCGGGGATCAAACCCTGGTCCCTGCACTTGCCAAAGCAGGCACTTAGTCAGCTGAGCTATCTTGCTGGCCCTCTAATGAATTCTTTAAAACACACTGACCCATTTATTTTGTAAGAATGGACCAAATAAGAACAGATAAAATGACTGCTGCCTATGTAATACAGCATCCAGCATAAGGCCATAACAAGTTCTACATTCAGGGCTGGGGATGTAGCTCAGTGGCAGACCTCTTGCCTATCATACATGAAACCCTGCATTTAGTCCCCAACACCACAAAACGAGAAAAACAAAACCAAAAACTACATTCATAATACAACTAGGTCAAGCTGGGTGTGGTGCCACATGCCTGTAATCCCAGCCCTTAGGAGGCTGAGGCAGGAGGATTACTACGAGTTCAGAGCCACCCTATGTTGAGATAGTGAGTTTGAGGCCACCTTTTCTTAAAAAAACAAAAATAGCCCCCCCACCCACCTAAAACAAGATTATATCATCGCAAATTTTAAAAATGTATTTCCTGGGCTGCAGCTATAGTTCAGTGGCACGCCTGGCAAGTGCAAGGTCCCAAGTTTGATTCACAGTACTATGAAAAAAAAACGGGCCGGGGAGATGGCTCAGTGGAATAAGCACTTCTCTGGCAAGTGCAAGGGCCTGAGTTCAATCCCCGGTTCCGCAAAAAAACCCAAAAAACAAAAAACAAACCATATATATATATATATATATATATATATATATATATTTCCCTCACAGAACCTAGCACAGTGACAGACATATCAGCATTTGTTGAACTGTACTTCCATCAATCGACCAAACCTACTTTCCTTTTACAGATTAAACTGCAATGTAATGACCAATATTAAAGTAGTCTCTTATCTGGGCCACATGGCACACACATACAGTCAAAGCACTTGGCAGACTGAGGCTGGAAAATCAGAAGTTCAAGTTCAGGTTCAAGTCCAGCCGGGGCTACGCAGTGAGTTCAATGTTAGCTTGGTCTACATAGTGAGGCCCTTTCTCAAAAACAAGCAAATGAACAAACAAACAGTTCTCTAACAAATATACATGTGATTGGGGCTGGTAACAGTTATATCTATCTACATTCTACCATCATCACTAACCCAAATTCCTATTACACTCCTATGAATGATAATGGCAAATGGCATAGTGCTGACAAACAGGCTAAAAATTCAACCAATAAGTCAACCAATCAAATGAGAATTTAACAGATATTTCCTTTGTTCACTGTCCTAAATGTGACTTAAGAATAGCCTTTAAGTCTTTCACCCAGAAGAACCAAGATACATCACAAACAGATATAAATTCCCTATGATGAATGTGATCATTATGTATACCTATTATGTACCAATCAACTTAATTAAAATAAAAATCCTTTTAATCAGACTTATGGCTTATGCAGCCTGGTGAAAGAGGCATGTCTCTTTCAAACAGTCTTAGACTGTTTTTAGCAAATACAAAAACTGAGACGCTAAAAGAAAAGTGTCTAACTAAAATTTGTAAAAAAACAAAAAGAAAAAGATTGCTTGTAAGATTTTATTAAACTAAACCTTTCCTTATGAAGAAAGCTGAATGTAATCGATTACTTACTAGTTGCAGGGTCCAGTTTTTCAGAGATAAGAACTGTAAGACAGAATAATAGATTAATAAACCTCCATGAGCCACATTATAGCTCCTAATTTTCACATGGATATTGCCAAAGACTTGAAAAAGTGGCTACTATAGTTCCCTTTCAAGTTGAAACAACTTAAAATTCAGCCTGAAACTGATATACTGTTAATATGTCAGTATTTTAAATCTCCTACCTGGAGGTCATGGATGTTTAAAAAAAAGAAAAAGGGCTAGGGTGTATGTCAGTGATAGAACACTTGCCTAGAACAAGCCAGGCCCTTGATTCAATCCCTAGTGCTGGAGGGAAAGAGAAAAAGTAAAAACATGGAGCTGGATGTGGTGGGACACACCTGTAATCCCAGCACTCAGGAGGCTGAAGTAGGAGGATTGCCACAAGCTGAAGACCAGCTTGGGCTACAGAGTAGGTTCCAAGCCAGCCTGAACTATCCAGACAGACCTGTCTTTAAAAACAAAGAGAGAGAGAGAGAGAGAGAGAGAGAGAGAGAGAGAGAGAGAGAGAGAGAGAGAGAGAGAGAGAGAGAGAGAAGGATACTTTTCCAGTATCATTTCGGAAGGACAAATACATCACATTAAAAATTATGTTATTTTTCAACTATTTCAATAAAAGATTTATTTTTTTATTTTGTACAAGGTCTAGTTACACAGCTTGGACTCAGTGATTCTCTTGTCTCAGCCTCCCCAGTGCTGGGATTATAGGTGTGTGCCACCACACCCAGGTTCAATGACTGGCATGTGTGGGGGCGGTTAGCAAAGCATGTGGTACCAAGGATCAAACCCAGGTCCTTGTACTTGAAAGGCAAGTGCTTAGACCATCAAGCTATCTACCCAGCCATCAATAATTTTTTATTTTTTATTTTTTCATCAATAATTTTTTAATGTTTATATTTTATTATAAATTAAGGGATCATGATCATATAATTTATTGTTTGACATAAACAAGTAAATATTAATGACCAAGCATTTAAATAGCTGCCTGGAGTTTTTTACTTTCTCGAGTAAATTCTACTCCAACCAACCCAAAGGCAGGAAGTTCACAAGCAAACACATTCTCTGTTCCTTAGTCATAAATTCAAGGGAATAAGCTTTTTGGTTACTTTAGAGATGTTTCAGTCTTGAAACTTTTGAAAAGATTAAATATAAAAAAAAACAATAAAATTTTGGAAAAAAAGATTAAATATATTCTTGATTACAATTCAGAATTTCATACAAAAAAGCTTATAGAATAAGGAGAGACAAAGTATCTTTTCATACTACCTTCACTTCCCAATTTATTATTATTCTTTATCTATAATAAAAATCTTGAAGACCATGTTACTCCCCCCAGTTTTTTTTAATTTTAATTTTAATTTTTCACTCCCCGCAGTTTTAACATCGTAGTTATTGACTGAGGGTAAGGGATGTGGTGTCACTCGTATAGTCTTCACTCAGCATATGCCCTTTCTATGATTAGGTTATCAGTTCTATTTCAATTTAAACTGACGGTGTTCCTGTCAAAAATTCGAAGTCATCAAGTGTGTGTGTGTGTGTTTTTTTTTTTTTTAAACTTTTTTTTTTTTTTTAATTTTGTGTGTGTGTGTGGCCAGCTCAGCCCACCAGGGGGCAGGGCTGGCTGGCATGTGGTGCTGGGGGATTGAACCGCAGTCCCTTTGCTTTTGTTAAGCTTGTTCTAAGTAGGTGCTTTAGATCACTGAGCCATCTCACCAGCCCAATCATCAAGTGTGTTTTTAAAGAATAAGTAGAACAAGCTACTCACAGCATTGAGCTCCCCAGTTTTGGGGCCCCATGGTGTGTGCGGCTCCAGTAAAACATCACATTCTAGCCCCTGCTCATCACAGGAACCAACCACAGGGTCACTAGAAAGAAGAAGATACTTTCATAGAGAAGTGTGTCAATTTCTTAAAACCTTAATGAGAAGACTTTATTAAATGTTCTATAAATCTTAGTAAATACAGTTCCTTGTGTAGCTGGGCACCTTGGCACATGTTTATAAGCCAGCCACTCAGGCAGGAAGATCACAAGTTCAAGGCCAGCCCAGCTAAGTTAGTGAGACCTTGTCTTAAAAAAAAAGGGCCGGGGATATAGCTAAGTGGTAGAATACTTGTTCAATAATCTCATATCCCTGTACCTCAGAAAAATCCAGTTCTTTTGTGATTCCTAGCACTGAAGAAAAAGAAATACAGTTACTGAGTATAAAGATGCCACTTCAACATTTATATTTCTTAATTCACTAGCAAAAGCCATCCACAACACTGGGCGTGGTGGCACACACCTGTCATCCCAGCACTTGGGAGGCTGAGGCAGAAGGATTGTTGTGAATTTCAGACCAGACTAGGCTACAAAGTGAGCTCAAGGACAGCCTGAACTGTATAGTGAGACCTTGTCTTAAAAAGACAAAAAACTTTTTTAAAAAGCTATCCACATAGGGTGTCCCACTGCACAAGAACCATCATATTTGTTGGTGGTAAAATGGGCTATTACTGGTTCTGTTTTGACCCCCCTCCCCCAGTGCTGGTGATTGATCCCAGGGCCTCCTGCGGGACAGGCAAGTCTCTACCACTGAGCCACCCCTTCAGCTGACTAGTACTGTGTTTTGAGGACACTTTTGTAAATGATCCTCCAGCCCCAAACCTTTTTTTTTTTAAGACTGAGCCTCAAAAGAAAAAAAAAAAAGAATAGTTAGGATAGATATACAGCTACTTTCTCTTAATTCAATGAGAAGAAAGATTTGTACTAATAGTGTTTGGACAGGATATCATGTCTGCATCTTGTACTATGAATAACCACTACAAAGACAACAATATGCAAAACGTATTAATTATTGTAACTGTTCTACTAACTTGTTTTGAAACTGTCTCATTGTTACTTGTCAATAAAATCAATAAAAAAAAAAAAAACCACAACAGTCCAAGCTGGCCTTGAAATCTCTATGTAGCCCAGGCTGACCCAAGCTCACAGTGATCCTCCTGCCTCAGGCTCCCAGCTACATTATAGGTGTCGTGCCATCACACCCAGTGCCAAACCTGACAGCCTGTTGTAATTACAAAACAATGGAAGTGACTTCAAATATTACTGAATCTGATGATTTCAAATCCATAGAAAGCTGTATAATGAAGACTTTAGCCAGGGTAGTGGTGCATGCCTATACTCCTAACACTCTATGAGGCTGAGGCAGGATTCAAAGTTTGAGCCCAGCCTGAGCAACTTAGTGACATAGTGAGATCGTGTCTCAAAAAATTAAACAAGAGCTTGGAATGTAGCTGAGCACAAAGACTCCAGGCTCAATCCCCAGTGTGTGGGAGTGAGGGGAGGGAGGAGGAGGAAGAGGAGCTGGAGGAGAAAGGGATCAGTGCTGGGGATGCAGCCCAGGGCTTGCCTAGTGTGTGTGAGACCCTGGGCTCAATCTCCGTGGCCATAAACAAAACCAAACCACCTCATTCCAACCAAAACACAGGGCTTAAAGCAATGGCGGATAAAATAAAATTTTAAAAAAATATTTAAAAATTAAAGACTTTAACCTTTTAAATCATCAATGACTCTTGCATTAATTTTTCTTCCCAGTGGACCTCCAATACTTTTAAGTGTTTTTCCTAACAAATAAATGTCTATTGTTCTCCTTGTAAACTAATATAATTTCTTTATTAAAAAAACAATTTTCTACATTTCTTTCATTTAACTGTGTGTGTGTGTGTGTGTGTGTGTGTGTGTGTGTGTGTGTGTGTTACCAGGGATCGAACTCAGGACCTTGTGCTTGCCAGACAGGCGCTATATCCCTGGCCCTAAGCTAATATAACTTCAATTAAGCTTTGCAAAATAACCAACACTAACTGTAGGACTAAAATTACTTGGGGAGGGGCTGGGGAGATGGCTCAGTAGAATAAGTGCTTTCCTGGCAAGTGCAAGAGCTTGAATTCAAGCCCCGGTTCAAAAAATTACTTGGGGAAATAGTATGAGCTAGGGGACTCTAGAATGTGACCGCTGAATACGGGTGCAGAACAGTACTGCTGTTTCATTTTGTTCTCACCTAACTGTATCTTTAGAAAAAGGCACAACAATGACATCTTTGTGTTTCTGCAGATCAACCAGCGTCCTAGCAGCTGCACAGGACGGCAAATCCCTTCCTTCACCTTGATCACGAAGAGCAACGGTGTGGTCTCTCACTTTACAGCCCTGTCACAGAAGAAAACCTTTAATTTAGAGAAACTGGTGCATTACAGAACACTCCTTTAAAGATCACTGTTTTTATTCAAGTCATATTTACAACTTTTGCTTGAGAAAAGAAATACAGAAAAGAGACTGAAACATAAATGTACAGCTCAACAAATACCCAAGTAATACCTCTGGGCATCATTCACATTAAAAAACAACATTCCAGGAGTCTCCCATCAGCCCATTCCTGGTCCTGCCCTTCTCCTCCCAAAAGATGGCTCTACTCTCTGTCAGACCTCTATGGCAATCACTTCCTGGCTTTTCGTAACCCTCTGGCCACTTAGGGATGCATCCCGGAACACTACAGTGCAGTTTTGCCTCATGAGTTTTGTTTTATTTTAATTAAATAATTTATGTATTTATTGGTGGAACCAGGGATTGAACTCAGGCCCTTGTGCTTGCCATGCAAACACTTATTCTACTGAGCCCTCTCCCTGGCCCCTTTAAAAAATTTTTTTTCTCCTTCTTTTTCTTCTCAACCTTTGATTTAGCAGCTGTGTACTTTCTCTTGTACAAAGCCTTTCTGGAATACATAGCAGATCGGAGTATCTACCAATTCCTCTAACAGGATTTCGGCTGCAGTGGGGCTGCCCCTTCTTGGACTTTTTTGCCTTCACCTTACCCTTTTTACCAGTGCCACTGGCATCAGCCTTCTTGGCTTCAGGTTTCTTCTCTTTAGTGTCTGCCTTCTCAGTTTTTCTGCCCACCATCTTGCAAGATGGGAAAGAGAACTAAGTTCCCAAATTCATAGTGGTTGTAATTTGCAATTCTCCAGTTACAAGTGAGCTGTCCTTTTCATATTTACAGAACAACTGTTTTCTTTTGTCTTCTGTGAAATGCCTATGATCCGCATGTCTTTTTTTTTTTTTTTCTCCGAATGCCTTCAGGGCAGGTTTGGCTGGCTTGAGTCGTGGGGATCAAACCACAGCAACCTGAGCCTGACTGCTTTGTTGAAGCAGCCACTTAAAGAACTGAGCTAAGGGGCAGGCCCCCTGATCTGCATGTCTTAAGAATTTTTTTTTTAATATTGATTTGTAGGATTTTGACCGCTATGTCAGTTTAGGAAGCATTTACATCTTTTACAATGCAGAGTCTTCCAAACATAGTAGAATGATGTCATTTTAAGTGTTCTTTATTTTCTGTCAATAACATTTTACTTTCTGTACAGAGTTCTATTTTGTTAGATTTCTTGCTAGGTAGTCATTTCTCAACCTATACCACAGTGCTTTATATACATTTTTTTTTTTAATGAATTTAGGACAGAGTCTACAGGATGTGCAAGGTATATAGGGTCTCACTACGTAGACTGGACTCATAGTGATTCTCCTGTTTTCAGCCTCCCAAGGGCTGGGATTACATGTGAGCGCCACCACACCACACCCAGTCTCAATCGCTGTCTCGGCATGTCTTGGGGCAGGGCTGGCACAGCATGCTGAGGATCGAACCCCCAGGTGCTGCGCTCTGCCAAAGCAGGCACTTTAGTGCACTGAGCTGTATTTGCTACAGGGTCTTGCTATGCGGCTTGGACTTATAGTGATCCTCCTGTCTCAGCCTCCCCATGCTGGGATTATAGGTATGCACTACCACACACCTGGGGTTCCAGGGCCAGCATAGTGCATGTGGTACTGGGGATTGAACCTGGGTCCTTGTGCTTGCCAGGCAGGTGCTTAGACTGCTGAGCTATCTCACCAGCTCTATAAGTATTTTTTGTATGGATTATGATGACGACAAGCGTTAAGTTCATTTTGTCCACTCATGAAATTTAATAGCATGACATTTTCAAACTGTTAGTGATCAAGAAATCAAACTTATACTAGTATCCACATGTTATACCAAGATGTTCATTACAAGAATATAATATTACCAATCCAGAAAAAATGTTTACCAATGGGAGAATGTTTGAAAATCAATAAGAGAATGGTTAAAAAATTTGTACACACATGTACAGCTCAGGTGATACTCATTTATGTACTGCTTGAACTCTTTTCTACATGATCATATTACTTTAAACTTTAAGAACAATATGGGACGGGGAGGTGACTCAGTAGAATAAACGCTTGCCTGGCAATCTCAAGGGCCTGAGTTCAATCCCTGGTTCTGCAAACAAACAAACAAAACCATAAAAGAAGAAAACAGCAATTTAATGTGGGGGAGCCCTGCAACGACGAGAAGGCAATATTCAGAGCTTACCTTGGTAAGCTGAGTAGGATCAAACCGAAGCACTTTTTGGTTACAGCAAGGGTAGATTCCAGTGCCAGCAGCACTTGGTGAACTCGCAGCAGTAGGATAAACTACTGTTTCTGAGTGGTATTGGCAATGTGAAAATTCAATACAGAGAAAAGCCTGGGTGAAAAAATATATGTATATAAAATCAAAGATAATTTTCACAATAAAATTATATACCTCCAACAGTTTTACTAGAGACAACGTTTTGTATGTCTCATTTACATGAAATGTACAGAGGGGGTGAATCTACAGAGCATCAAAGTAGATTAGTGCTTGCCAGGACTTGGAAGAACTGGGATGGCAGGATTTTTTTTTTTTTTTTTTTTACTGTATTTGGTTGCTATAGGGTCTCACTATGCAGCTCAGACTCACAGTGATCCTCCTGTTTTCAGCCTCCCCAGCGCTGGGATTTCAGGGCTACGACACTACACCCGGACTCTGTGGCTGGCTCAGCCCACCCTGGGGGCGGGGCTGGCATGGCATGTGGTGCTGGGGATTGAACTGCGGTCCCCGCATTGCCTGAGCTTGCCTAAGCAGGCATTTTAGTCTGCTAAGCTATCTTGCTGACCCCTGCAGGATATTTTTGTGGTAATATTAAAACCAGTTTAGTTTATCTGAATTTTGAATATAGTGGTTTTATTGAGGTATAATCATATATTATACAGTTCACTCATCTCAAATATATAATTCACTTATTTTTTTGTAAATTTATACTGCTGCATGACAATCGACATCAATCAACTCTAGCGCGTTTCCATTACCACAAAAATCCATTTTTCTAAGTAAAAGAAGCTAGACTAGAATAGCTAGCGTGATTCTATTTATCTAACATTCTGGAAAAAAGCAAAACTATAACCAGAAAATAGATGAGCTGCTGATAGCAACTAGAGTCACTTCTTAGCAAGAAAGACCTGACTGAAAATGAGCATAAGGGACTTTAGGGTAACAGTAGTGACTGTTTTGATGGTAGTGATAGCAACATCGGATGTACTTATCAACTTCACAAAACAGCCACATTTCATGGTATGTAAAATATAGTCCAATAAATCTGATTTTAAAAATTGTGGAAACATAGGAGCCTATTAGAGAAGGCCTTTTATGGTCTGAAATCCCATTCTGATAGTCTGATAAATTGTTCTTCCATCCATCCTTCTATTGAAAATCATTACCAAAATAAGAGGGAAAATTTTCTAGAGGGAGAAAAGTTTTAGGGATTCATAAATTGTATGTGAAAAACTCTGGATTTGTACATTAGTTAGGAATGACTGGAACTTATACACACCTGTTTCTTCTATAAAAAGTTATAGGTTCAAGGCTAGTAAGATAGCTTGATGGACTAAGCACCTGCTTAGGCAAGTGCAGGGACTAGGGTTTGATCCCCTGTATCACATGCTGCACTGGCTTCACTCTCAGGCACAGTGAGTCAGCCAAGACTGAGCATGGTGGTGCACGCCTGTAATCCCAGAGCTGGGGAGGCTGAGACAGAAGGATCACTGTGAGTCTAAGCTGGGTAGTGAGACACTGTAGACCCTGTACTAAAAACATTAAAAAAAAAAAAAAGAAAGAAAGAAAAGAAAAGAGCACGGATTAATTGCAATTTATCTACATCTGCAAAGAAACTTTTGAATTTCCACACAAATTTATAGAAGCCAACAGGGGTGACTGTGCCTTCCTGTAATTCCAGCACTCTGAGAGGTGAGGCTGGTAAGTCCAAATTAAAGCCAAGCCCAGGCAATTTATTGACTTAGTAAAATGCTCTTTCAAAATCAAAGAAAAAAAGGTGATGGGGCCCTGGATTCAAGCCCCAGCACCCAGTGAGGGGTAGAGAATTTATGGGCCAATGGGAAAATAGTTTGGATAAAAATAATTTAAAATTTTAAAGATCTCTCTCTCTCTCTCTCTCTCTCTCTCTCTCTCT